CAAATTAACCCAGTTGCAGAGAGCCTTAAGTGTATCAGAAACATCCAGTTGGTTGCAACTTCAAGAACATAAATCATTATTCTAAACTGGTGAAATAGTTTGAACCAATGTCCTTGGTTTCTCTGACAATTAAAAAACTACTTTGGAACAAAAAATGGGTACCATATCCAAATATCTATCACTAATAATCAAACAAATCAAAATCAAGGGAAGAAACTTCACCGCCAAAAGAATTAAGAGAGAAGATTTACATGAAGAATCTAACCTTACCCAGAAAGTTAAAAAGATAAACGGATCTCCACCGCTCCTTTAGAAATAGCCAAAAAGGGAACAATAAAGAGATTATTAGTAACGAAAGAGAACAAACGTTGTTTGGAAGTAGAGAAAATCAAAGAGAGAGTGAGAATAGGGCGAGAGGGGTTAAAATAACCGGGCGGACTCAGCGAGTGGCAAGAGAACAGAGAAGGGTAATCGTTGTCTTCAACTCCTCCAGAACCGAGTTCAACTGAGCCTGCAACTCAGATCCCTTACTGACCCGTGTTCGGCAACTTTTGGATGCTGAGTGGGGAAGAAGAGGCAAAACGAGGGAAACATAATTTTGGATGATGAGCGGGGAAGAATAGAGACCGAAAACAAAGGAGGGAGGGTTTGGCGGGAAGAGGCGGGAGAAAATGATATTTATAATTAATATTAAAATATTTATAATTAATATTAACTTATATTAATATAATATAGTTTAATTTTAATTAATATTAATATAAAATAGTCTATAAAATTAATTAATATAAACTATATGTTATAAATTATATTGTATAGTTTATAAACTATATACTATATTAATATAAATTATAGTTAAGATAATTAACATTAATATAAACTATAGTTTATAAATATACAATAGGTTATAAAGTATAAACTATATAGTACACTAATATAAACTATTGCTTATAAACTATAGGTTACATATATAGTTTATATAACTTATAAATATATTGTTTATATAAATATATTATAGGTTATATATAGTTTATATATGCTATACATAGTTTATACATACATATACTATAAGTTACATATATAGTTTACATGTATACATATACTATAGGTTACACATATTAACTATTATTTATGTACAATGTTTAGGGTTTAAGATTTAAGGTTTGGTGTTTAGTTAGGGTTTAGGGTTTTTATAAACCATATACTTTATTACTTAATATAATTTATGCATAGTGTTTCTATAAACTATATATATATATATATATATTCTATAGATTACTTATATTAGTTATACATACATATATATACTATATTAATATAAATTATAATTTATAAACTATATATTTTATATATTTTAACATAGTATTTATAATATATATTATATTAATATAATTATATTTTATAAACTATATACTTTTTATAGTTATACATATTAGTTATATAGTTTATATATAGTTTATATATAACTTATTTATATATATATATATATATTTATTTTGTTTTCAATTTTTTAAACGAATGCAATTTTTTAAATATAGTGTTTGTAGTTCACTAATAACTATATATAGTTAATATGTAAACTATAGTTCATATGTAAATTACATAGGTAAGAGTTAAGGTTTAAGATTTAAAGTTTAGGATTTAGAGTTTAGGGTATTAGGTTTAGGGTTATATAATATATACTTTATTAATTTATATAGTTTATGCATATTGTTTCTATAAACTATATAAGTAATTTACTTTATGTGATATATATATATATATACTATACATAGTTTATACATACATGTACTATAAGTTACATATAGTTTACATTACATGTATACATATACTATAAGTTACATATATAGTTTACATTGCATGTATACACATACTATAAGTTACATATATTAACTATTGTTTATAGACTATAGGTTAATGTTACATATATAATTTATATAATCTATTGTTTATATAAACTATATATGAATTATCAAATGTATCTATATATATATAGTTTATAATGTTTAGGATTTAGGGTTTATGTTCAGGGTTTAAGATTTTTATAAACTATATAATTTATTATTTTATATAGTTTATGCATAGTGTTTTTTTAATATATATATATATATATATATATATATATATTATATATATATTATAATTATTATACATACATATATATATATAATATAATAAACATATAATTATATAGTTTATACATATATAGTTTATATATATACTATATTAATAAATATAGTTTATAAACTATATACTTTTTATAGTTTATACATATAATTTATATATAGTTCACATAAACATAATTTATATATATAGCTTATAATAATATATAGTTTATAATATAAATATAGTTTATAATTTTATATACATAGTTTTATATATAGTGCACATAAATATAATTTATATATAGTTTATAATAATTATATAGTTTATAATATAAATATAGTTTATATATAATTTTTTATTATATATATTATATTTTTTCAATTTTTTGAATGAATGCAAGTTAGTATATTTTTCATTTATTTGATTTAACCCTTTTGTGTTTTTATAATTTATTTCAATTTTAAGTCTCTAACTTTTATATGTATTCAATTTAGTCATTAAATTTATATTTGCATATTCCATTGTTAGTTGTTATTTATTATATTTTTGTAACTGGCCCATAATTTTTTAAATTTGTTTAATTTAGTCATTTTTTATATTAATTTAAACCTCACATTTTAAATTTATTTCGATTTAGTCATTACCTATGTGTGTTGTTTAATTTATATTTTAAGATTTTATTTGTAATTTTACATTCTTCAAATTTGTTAAATTTATTTTTTTTTCAAAATTGATCCATGAATATTTATTTTTCTCTTATTTTTCTCGAAATCATATACAATTACAACTTCCAATTCAACAATCACGAAATATGACAAAATAATTAATCTAAAAAAATAAAAATGACCCGACCTGAACTCAATCCGTATCCGATAATCATCCGACCTGAATTTTATCTGTCAATGATGTGACCCGATCTGAACGAGATCCGACTGAAGTCAACCCGAACCTAAATTAACCTGGTCTTTATCTGCTTCGGACCTGAATTGTTTTTACTGAACTGACATCGATCCGAACTGAAAATTACCCGACCTGAACTCGATCTGGATCTGGTGTCAAATCAACCTTAAAATAACCCGAACTGATTTGACCTGACCTGAACCCGATCTGGATCTGGTGTCAAATCAACCTAAATTGACTTGTACCCGATTTTACCCGACCTGCCAAGATCCGACTGAAACCTGCCCTATTACCTGATTTTACAGCCCTACCCTTAATCTCCATTCTCCCATGATAAATATAGGCTTAATACATTTTTAGTGCCTAAATCATATCTCAAAATATAATTTGGTACTTAAAGAATTTTTCGTTAAAATAGGTGCATAACGTTTCTAACGTTATACTTTTAGGTACATGAACTGTAATGACTGTTAAATTTGGTCGTTATCTGAAACGCGCCACATATAAAATTTTAAAAATTATTTAAAAAAACAAAAAAAACACTCAAGTTTTACATCTTTTGCCACCGATCAGCCACCGTCGGTCTGCAGTCGTCACCTTTGATACCATTAGAACCGTCTCGTCGTCGCTATCAAAATTTAGTCTCCACCTATTGTGAAACCGCGCCGATCGTTGTGAAAAATGCTGAAAAGGTTGTCGGATTTCTAGGTTTTTTGTTGATGTTTTTTCAACGATTTCGACGACTACAATCATCCGTACGTTACACGACTGTCACTGTTGTATTCCTCGTTCTGCTCTGAACAAAACCCGATCGATGGTGACCCTTTGCAGTAAGAGGTGAGAGGGAGAGGGACGACATGGGATGGTTTGATTTTTCTAATTTTTTCTTTTTTAAAAAAATAATATTTTTATTATTGAAAAATTAAAAATTATAACAGATACCTAAAACTGTAATAGAGAAAACGTTAGACACTTATTTTTAACAAAATATTCTTTAGACATCAAATTTTATTTAAAATAGTTTATATATTAAAAAGTTTATTAAGCCATAAATATATATATATATATATATTCTTTTTTTCTGATCAGAATCACCATGGCATTACTTCCAGACTTTTTATCACGCAGGCTAGCTTTTTGCTTCAAAATTCTTTGACTATATTTAGCTGGTACGTAATACATTCATAACACAAACATTGCAAACACGTCCTACATGTTTTGTTTAGCGATATGAACCAATACATGATTTTATGTTAGATGACGAACTTATAAAATTTTAGAAAGAGACAAATTTATATAATTTTAAGAGAACGAAATATATTTTTAATAAAATAAAAAATATCTAAAATATATTAAAATTTAAAGTTTTTAGGAGAGTGACTGCCTCCGTCTACCCTTCTATCCATCATTGTTTAGCAAGGTATTCCTTTGGTTGTGTAAAGTTTATATGTATGTATATATGTAGGTATGTTTGTATATACAGGTGTGAGGTGTGATGATCTTATTGGAGGTATGTAGGTGACAACTGTTAGAATAGTAATAAAATTGATATGAATATAATATTTTATTTATTATGTAAAATTATTTAGAATAATAAATTAAATATTTTTAAAGGTTTGAATATTAACATTTATAAATAAAATAAATTAAATTAAGAGGATTGTCCACGAACCTTTCAAAATCATATGAATTAAGAATATTATACATTAAACTAAACTGAATAATTGTAACCAGTGTAACCGCATACTCAACAATGGCATGGAATTATTTTTAAAAAAGTAGCTGATTAGGTTTTGCTTTAAAACTACTTGAGTAGTTCCAATTGACACCCCATCTAATTCCTTCTGCTTTTTTATTACAAAATTTTCACTTTATATTGTAATAAAATGTGCCATTTTCAACAATTTATGCGATTCCTTCTGCCCAGGAAGAACTCATCATCACTCCACTTAATTAGATTAGTTATAGATAAGAGCTAATACTTTATTAGAAACAAAGAAATGGGAAAAGCTACGAGGTGGCTGAAGAGCTTATTTGGTATAAAGAACAGCAAAGACTGCTCGGATTCCGGTGACCGGAAAGGAAGGAAACGGTGTAGCATCGGTCATTCAAGGAGGAACTCAAGCGGCAGATTGTGTAACACTACAACAATATCACCGGTAGATGCGTGGTTAAGATCATACTCTGATGAAACAGACAAGGAGCAGAACATGCATGCAATTGCTGTGGCGGCTGCCACCGCAGCAGCTGCTGATGCGGCAATAGCCACTGCAAAGGCGGCTGTGGCAGTGGTGAGGCATACAAGTCATGGAAGAGGAATCATGTCCGGTAAACACGAGAGAGGGGCCGCCGTTAAAATTCAAACTGTCTTTCGAGTATATCTAGTAAGTACATTTTCAACAGTTTACGAAGTTTTCGAATGCGTTGCGTTTAATTTCGGATTTGGGGTCTAAAACAGGCTAGAAGAGCCCTTCGAGCTTTGAAAGGATTAGTGAAGATGCAAGCGTTAGTTAGAGGATATTTAGTGAGGAAACATGCTACCATAATGTCTCGGAAAGCTCGCGGACTTGTTGTTAACCATGAAGCCAACAGATTCGACATCCGAGCACGAAAATCAATGGTGAAAATCCATTTAAATTAAATCATTTCTACTCCATTATGATTCCAATTTAAGCTAATTTCAACTGTTCAAATCTCCATTTGTAGGAGAGATTGTATCCTTTTGACACTGCAAATGGCATTGATGAAAGTTCCAAAATTGTGGAGGTTGACAATGGCACGCCTAAATCAAGATCTCGCAGATCGGACTTCCATGATGATCAGCCGCTTCATCGGACGTTGTCGTCTCCGTTTCTATGTCGAGTTCCGGAGCCCCGAGTTTCGATACAGGAAGGCCGGCACTTTCAAGACAGCGAGTGGGGTTTAACTGGTTATGAATGCAGATTTTCTACAGCGCAGAATACACCTCGGGTCATGAGTTCTTGTGGGTCTAATGCCTCGGTTGCACCTCCCAAGGGTGTGTGCGCTGATAACTGGTTTAGACATTACGGGAATTTCCCAAATTACATGGCCAACACACAAGCCTTCAAGGCTAAATTGAGGTTCCAGAGTGCTCCAAAGCAAAGGCCAGAGCCGGGGCCCAAAAAGCGCCTTTCTCTCGGGAATCTAGACGTGGGGTTGGGAAGCAGAGATGGTTCTCTCAAGTTCAGGGTTGAGTGAATGGGAAACTTCGATTCATATTAAAAATTTTCAGGTTCCATTGTGATAGAATATAGAAGCTTAAGTTCATATATTATTGTTGTAATATTGATGAACTATGGCTACGTAAAATTATAATTGTTATTAAGGATTTAAGATTTGATGCTAACTGAACTTATTGACCTTAGTTGTAAAAGGAATGTTGTTCTTCCTTGAAGTTTTGAATTCGAATAGTCGCGTATGCAAAATGTATATTTTATCAATGATTAACAAAGATTATGAATAAATGTTATTTGTTGTCACCCTAAACTATTCAAAAATGATAATAATCTGACGCTGACTATCTTATATTGGTCCTAAAATAGATTTGATGATAGGTGATTTATGATTCTAGTTTCAGGACTACATCATGTCATTCCTAATTGTTTATCTTGGAATTCGTTATCAAACTTACTGAAAATCACCTTTTAAATACAAATATATTGTATATAAAAGTATATCATGAAATAAGAATAATAAAATGTTATTATATTGTGATAGATCATTTTTTAGAAGTGGATTTATCTTCATTTGTATAATTAAAAAAATTGTATTGAGATTATCATAGTTCTTATTTCAATATCTAAAATAATAACATTTTAAAAAAAAACTACTTATTTAATTATCCAACTATTATTACATTTCTACTTTGGTTATTAAACTATTTTTTTTATATTTGTAATATTTATTTTCATTATGTTTCGATCATTGGTTGTTAAGTTTCCATTAATTTTTAACATTTTGGTGACATGAATTGGTCTAATAATAGTTTTAGTATCCAAAACATATATATTTTATAAATTTAGTCCTAACTCAAAATAATTCATCAAATTCAACCCTCTAATTTAAAAGTCAGAGATCAAAATAGAATAAAACATAATATAGTGATGCAAATGCCCAAAAAATAATTGATGACCAAATAAAAAATGATATAATTGGGTGAGCAAAGAGGCAGTTTACCCTTGAAAACAAACAGAAACATTAGATTGGACTATGGAGGGAGACTCAACTTTTTAGTGCCGCCAACATCTCCTTCATTTATTTACTTCAATCGCTTCTCTCGTTTTCACTTTTCTCCTTCCGCCTCCGGTCAGTCCTCTTACTCTCTTCATCTTCTGCTCTTCTTGTTTCAGTAAATGTACTTCTTTCAGCGTTTCTTCTTAATCTTACAAACCATGCACAATTCTCTGTACTATTTCTGGTGTATTTCTTATGTATGTTTTATAATGGAAGTTACAATATCAAGTTTTGTAGATTTTCTTTGTTCAAGTTTAGGAAGTAAATCATTTTATGGATGATAGCTGCGAAGTTTAATATTTTATGTTATAATTTTTTTATGAAAAAAAAAGCTAAATGTGATTATTTTCCGATGGTTTTTCTTTGTTTAGAATGTCTTATCAAAAGGCATTAAGGAAGGCGTTAATTTGTACCGGTGTTATCTTCCATGTAATATTAGAGACTTTACATGATTGCACTTTTCATATGTTTTAGCAATTGTTTGGTTGCTTTCTAAGTAGTTCCTGAAATTCAAATTTTTTCTGATCATTCGTAAGAGTTTTGTTCTGATATCCAAAAAATAGACAGATTTACTGAGATTGACATCTAGAAGACTTGTTTGGGAAACCAAGGCCCACTCATTAACGACCATGGCCACCGTAAGTTTATTCAGCTGAAAATTCATGCGCTAATTATCTTTAAATTGTATTTTGATTGTGTACTAATTATTTACTTTGAGCTGTGACTAGGAACAGAATGAATGTATGGGCAGTGTGAAAGGACAGTTAGCAAAACTGTTTGATGTTTCACTTAAAGTAACTGTTCCTAATGAGCCGGATGTAAAGCCACTGGTAGCTGCATGCAATGGCAAATTTGGTGATTACCAGTGGTATGGTATATGTTCCTTTATTGCAAAAAAATACCAGTTGCAGTAGATGGTGTTTTCATGTTGTTATGCAATGATAGATTGATTATTGGTAAAACTAAGGCCAATTCAACCTTTTGTATAGACTAATTTTTATGCAAAATTTGAAATTTCTTTGGTACAGCAACAATGCCATAGGCCTGTGGTCTAAAATAAAGGGAAGGTGCTCAATTTCGTGGACCTCCTGCAGTTGGAGAGGTGAGGATGATTTGGTAGTGGAGGAGCTTGTTTCCTGTATCATGCTTTGAATCAATAGATATCGTTTCTTTTGGTAGGCAATCAAGAATGATCTCTCATCCTCTGAAATGATAGAATCATGCTCCGTAGCTGGGCCTGGATTTGTAAACGTAGTATTGTCAAAGAATTGGATGGCTAAGGTGGCTCATATGTTCCACCCTATTTATTTTATGTCATTGAGTTACTTATGAGAATAGTTATAACTATCTTTGATTCAGCTTGGTTTGGCTTTATGTGTTGTAGCTATTGCATTGGTCTTATAAGATAGCTTTGCTATTTTCTTTTGACAGAGCATTCAAAAGATGCTAGTTGAAGGTATTGATAAATGGGCACCGCTTCCGCCAGTTAAAACAGCAGTTGTTGACTTTCATCTCCTAATATATCAAAAGAAATGCATGTTGGTCACTTGAGGTCTACAATTGTCAATTATTGGTGACACACTTGCTCGCATGCTTGAATTTTCAAAAGTTAAAGTTCTTCGACGAACCATGTTGGTGACTGGGGGACACAGGTTGGTGTTGTTTCTGAATTATGCATAGAAGGCGTGTGTTCCTGTTTGGCTCAATAAGGGATTAAGCATTCATCTTATTGTGAAATTTATGTTTAGACCTTTGGTGATGTCAACGATCAAAGTGGGTTGTAGTGCTCAATAAGGCTCGACATCATTCCTGCACTTCCACTGGACTCTACCGAAGTTAAAGATGAACCTATATCTTTTTAGCATATCACGTCTCCTTTGGTAACCTTTTTTCCCTTTTATATTACTTTTCTATTTGACTTGCAGTTTGGCATCCTGATTTTCTTTTTGAAAAGTTTCCGAATTTTGAAGATGCTACTGAAACAACCATTGGAGATCTACAGGTGTATGTTTGAATCTTAAGATGAAGTTTTGTAAGCACCATTAGGCAGTAGAATGAACCCAGAAATAATTGCTGATTCACTTTTTAAAAATAAGAAACTAGAGGCTGTGCTTTTTTAGGATGATGTGTCAAAAACGAATATTATGCTCGTTAGCTTTTAATGATGTTTTATTCTGAAACTGGTATCTAATTAAACAAATATCTCCTGGATAACTATTGTAATTGTGCTTGTTTAATTGTTTTAAAACTTTTATAAATTATATCCTTTGTAGATGGATTAACATTTAACTATACTAGAGCTTAGTAGTAATTCTATTCTTTATCTTCATATTTATCCCACAAAAAATAAGTGATTGTTGTTATCCTCATTTGAGAGATTTTTTTAGCATTTTATAAAGCTTCAAAGCAGAGATTGATGCTGATCCTGCATTTAAGGAGAGAGCTCAATAGGCAGTGGTGCGCCTTCAGGTAAAATTTTACCTTGTTAATTATTTCCCCCCTTTTCCTCTCTGATTGCATTTGGGTTCATTAATACCTGATTTCACTTTTTTCCATATGCTGTGTTCTACTCATTTTAGGGTGGAGAAGACAAGTATCGTAGGGCATGGGCACAGATATGTGAAATCAGCCGGAATGAATTTCATAAGGTCTATCACGGCTTGGAGTCCATCTAGAGGAAAAGGTGAGTAATGTGCCTCAATTCCATATCATTGAAGATCTCTTTATTTATGATTTACTTTCAATTTATCTTTATATTTTTCATTCTATATAATCATCTTCAATATACTACAAACTGTAAATTGACACGCTTATGACTTTAACATTCATATATCACCAGAAATCTTGCACAAAAGTAATTATACACAGTTTTGATGACATTTGTAGTGAAGGAACTGTATATTTTTTTGAATGCCAGTTTTCAAAAACCTCATTAAATTTGTGAAAACTAGCAAGTTTTATTTCTAGTCGAAGTGATGCTCTGGATTTATGTGCTTATGGTTATTTCCTTATTTCCAGGGGGAGAGTTTTTATAACCCATGCATTCCCGGGGTCATAGAAACCTTGACTAAACAAGGATTAGTTGAGGAAAGTCAGGGGGCTCGTGTGACCTTTATTGAAGGCATTAATATACCTCTTATTTTGGTGAAGAGTGACGTTGGTTTCAACTATGCCTCAACTGATCTAGCCGCCCTTTGGTAAATTTTCTTACATGAATATGATGTCGGCCTCTTGTTTTTCATTCTTGCGGAATATGTGAAATCTGTTAGACTAATGTGCAGCAGATCTGACTGAAATTAGAATGGTTAAAATTACAAAGTGACAGCTGGTTCGAAGACTATAAGAGTGTAAACTTTAGATGATTTGCTTATTTACCTTCTACATGTTGATCTCATGGTGTACTTTGTTTATGTAGACCAATTTCCTCTGAGGAGTTCAATGTGTTACTGATTATGACGTGTTACACAAAGTTTACTGTTTACTTTGTTGATGCTGGGATATAAGCCTAGGAATATGAATTAATCAGCTTTTTCTCCAATCTTTGTACTTGCTACCTGTAGGTATCGCCTCAATAAAGAGAAAGCTGAGCGGATTATATACGTTACTGATGTAGGCCAGCAGCAGCATTTTGATATGTTTTCAAGTATGTTCTCAAAGCAGTTTTTGGAATTCTTTTGATGAGTTATCTTTAAAAACCTATTATTGATGAAGTGAAACTTTTCCTTTATTCTATTTACTGCAAATAGATTGATACTTTCTTTTAAAAACTCATTATTAATTAAGGACCGTGTAATGTTATTCCACTTTTAACCTCTAGTTTCTACCCAAAAAAAAACCATCTAGTCTCTCTCTCTTGTTTTAGTTCTGACATTACTTTGGTTTACTTTTCAGGCCGCCAAACGTGCAGGGTGGCTTTCTCATGGTGATAATTCATATCCCAAAGCTAGCCATGTTGGTTTGGCCTTGTTCTTGGAGAAGATGGAAAGCGTTTTCGAACCCGTAACACTGAAGTAGTTCGATTAGTTGATCTACTTGATGAAGCCAAGAGTTGAAGTAAAGCAGCACTTATTGAGCGTGGTAAAAATTGAACCTTCTATCTGTTACAAATGATTCTCTGCTCTTACGGTTGCAGAACAATTTTATGGTGTATGCATTAATGCAAGTTCTTGCTGTTGTTAATTGTAATCTTTCAACCTTCAAACTTCTTATATATGAAATTGCTACTTTTTGTGCTGATCAGGTAAGGGTGAAGAATGGACTGAGGAGGAGATTGAGAGTACTGCCGAAGCAGTTGGTTATGGTGCTGTAAGTAAGCCACTCATCACATAGAGCTTCTTTTTCTAATCCAGCTGTTATTGCTATTATCTTCTTGTATTTCCATGTTATTGTTCTCAAATTCATGAATTCTGATTACAGGTATGCTGACTTGAAGAACAACCGATTGACCAATTTGTTGAAAGTATTGTTAAAATGGTTTTCAAGTTTGGCAACCAACTTTGAAAAATGTTTTTCAAAGTGTGGTAAATGTTTCTTTGAAAAAATATTTTTTAAAATTTGGTAAAGTTTGGTAGATTCGAGTGGGAGTGATGGCTACAGACGAAGGGAAGGTGAAAATTGAAAAGTTCGATGGTGCGGACTTTAGCTTTTGAAAGATGCAGATTAAAGATTTTCTGTACCAGAAAAATCTATATCAATCTCTCTCAGGAAAGCAACTAGAGGGCATGAAGAATGAAGACTGCTCTTCTCGACAGACAAGCCCTCAGAGTTATCTGACTGACGTTATCCTGCAATGTTGCTTTCAACATAGCAAAGGAAAAGACCATAGCGGTCTTATGGCGGCTCTCCAGTATGTATGAAAAGCCATCGGCCTCAAACAAAGTTCATTTGATGAGGCGATTGTTCAATTTGCGGATGACGGAAAGGGCATCGGTGGCTCAACACCTAAATGAACTCAACACAATCACAACCCAGTTAAGTTCCGTGGAAATTGAATTCGATGATGAAGTTCGAGCTTTAATTCTTTTATCGTCTCTACCAGACAGTTGGAATGCTACTGTTACAGCAGTCAACAGCTCGTCGGGAAACAGCAAATTAAAATTCGACGATGTTTCGGAATATGGTATTGAGTGAATAAATTCGACGGAGAGAATCGGGTGAAGCATCAACCTCCTCAGCCTTGCACACGGAGTCCAGAGGGAGAACTTCATAAAGAAATTCAAATCGTGGCAGATCCAAATCCAGAATGGGAAAATCAAGAACGGGAAAGAAAGATTTTACCTGTTATAACTGCGGCAAGAAGGGCCACTTTAAAAGGATTGCCGAGCATCAAAGAAAATCGGCGCACAGGAATCTGCCAACGTGACAGAGGATACAGGTGATGCCATGATTCTAAGCGTCAACAGTCCGATTAAATCATGGGATCTTGGATTCAGGAGCATCTTTCCACTCCACCCCATGCCGAGAAATCATAGAGAACTATGTCAGTGGTGATTTTGGGAGGGTTAATCTAGCTGATGATGAAACTTTGAAGATCGTCGGAAAAAGAGACATCCGATTAAAGCTGCCAAACCAGACCACCTGGAAGCTGACAGGAGTGAGACATATTCCTGGCCTTAAAAGGAATTTGATTTCTGTAGGACAGCTTGATGGAGAAGGATATAGTACAACCTTTTCAGGCTGTGAATGGAAGATTACCAAAGGAGCATTCGTTATTGCTCGTGGTAAGAAAATTTGTACTCTCTATATAACTTCAAATTTAGAGAATATCATTACAGTAGAAGATGCTGATGGAAAATCAAACCTATGGCACCAAAGGCTTGGCCATATGAGCGAGAAAGGAATGAAGAC